ATTTACGCAGGAATAATGTAGAGAAAAGAAGAAGCCCACGACTTGAGAATTCAGCTTTACTTAAATCTGAGGTACGTGTAGTATCTTGGCTGATACAGATAAGTATGCACAAAATATGCTACTTCAAAAACCCATGCCCCACAGCGCACCGCCCTCAAACCCTAATCCCGAACCCTAAACCCTACGCCCGAGAGTCTGAATCCTAAAAAGAACGGCGAGTTGCGGAAGGTTGCCGCCCTTCTAGGAGGCCCTGGCATCCCATGAAGCCTTGGGGTTTAGGGTTTTGGGTTTAGGGTTTGGTGGATTTGGGAGGGTTCAGAGCATAAGGTTGAGGGCTGCAGGGATCTTTCCGGGTGTTTGCCTGGATTGGCATTTTAAAGGCTCAAGCTAGCTAAGTACAAATTGGGCCTGTAGAGGTTACAGTTTGGGCTTAGTTTTGGGCGGAACCTACACAGAGCCCACATTATGGGCTTGGGCAGCAGCTTACATTCTGATCCAATGGCGTCTTCAGTCCTCAAAAGGGGAGCCGACAAAAACTCTTCGGGAGCTTGGAGCGCATGATTTAGGGCTAGTGGCTGTGAGGCTCTAGGATCTGGGTACGCAGATATCCTAGACTTCCCGAATGCACATTGTTATGGATATTTAGGAGGTCTGGGGTCTAGATAAGGCCCCAGGACTACAACTTCATTGGCAGACCAAGCAAGTAGCCCAGCACATTTCAGGGGGCTTAAAAAGCAAAGGTCCCTTGAAGGTTGAGTCTTTGTACGCAGTAATCTGAGCTGCTTGGAATTTACAGAAACAGAGTTTAACATGCAGTGTTCATCGCGCTGCATACATTGGATGCTAAGGGGCTGTAGTACTATGTTCCTACATTCCTATATTACTATACTACTGTATGACTATTGACCCCTGCAAGAAAAAGATGCGCTCATGCTACATGCAGGCCCAAGAGCAGGTGTTGATGGTCGGTGCGAACATTGTCTGCGATCAGGGTGGCAGTGAGATTGGGGTGTATAGGATTGTTGAGTAGTACTGTAAATATTGCAACTTCTATTTAGAACTGCTACTAGTATTAGCCTTTCACTCCTAATATCATTACTACTAGCATTGCACCTAAGATTCGTACTAACATTATGATTTGCTAGCTACCTAGTCTGGTCCGAGTGCTGGCGCATGAGGATGCCGCATGGTCAAATGCGAGGCGCACACATTCTCAGCTAGACTCACCCTAAACCCTCAAACCCTAAAACCCTAAACCCTAAACCCTAAAACCCTAAACCCTAGACCCAAAAACCTTAAAACCCTAAACCCTAAACCATCCTGCTTGTGGTTCCAGTCGGCTCACCCGAGGGATCCAAATAGCCCAAGGTAGGTACGATTTACAGACTTTATTAGGGCCCAAATGAGCCCTTGTCTAAACTCCTAGTATCCCCCTTAATAAGCCCTATAATACTCCCCTATATAATCCCCTATATAACCCCCTTTTAAGGGAGTTTAGGCTATAGTGCAAATGTAGGTATCATTCTTCTAGTTGGATCCCTACAGTGGATGGAGGGCAATCCTCCACCCACTTCGGATGCCAACAATATTCCAGGACCCTCCTTGTACCCTGAATTGGGGATATATGGTCCCTAATAGTGGGCCCTTATAGAGGGTAGGAGGAGGGTCTAGGTTGTGATTTTGGGGGCATAGGCCACATGAGGTGGTGCAAGATGTCCTCCATCCACAGTAGGCTCATAGCAAGAGGACGCGGCTATCATTTTAGGGGTCCGCATTATAAGGGTTATAGTGTTTTGGGCTCTAGTTTGGGGTGCCCCAGCTATTAAATCTCTAGTGTTTGTATGCAAAAGCGCGCTTGGGTGAGTCTTCTCCGCACGAGAGCTCGGCGTGAGCCCTGAGCCTGCTGTAGCACAAGCTCACCCACAGCGCATAGTCCTACGGTGGATACTAAAAGTCTTGCATGGCTTTAGGATACCCTATTCCTGGGAAATTAAGTCATTATAGTATATTATGGTCATACAGGATTTGTAGTATCAACTGTAGGGCTAAGAGCTCAAGTTTCAAAACCCTAGGGGTATAATTATGTAAATTATACCCACAGTGGGCCCCAAAGTCTGCAAACATTGCCCATGACCCACATTGGGCTATTCGGAATCCTAGGGTCTTGATTGTAAAAATCTCTTTGCAATCTTATAGAATCAATGCGCAGCCCCTGTTCCCAACCCAGACGAGGACTCCGCAAGCGAATAAGAGCTATACATCCCTGCCTGTTCACAGACCATCTTGGCAAGAACGGTCCTCTTCGTATGACGCTGCTCAGAGCAAGGTAGGACAGGGGAGAAGTAATATCAGTGAGAACAGTCATAAGTAATAATGGTAATAATAACAATAATAATAGCAGTGATAGCAAGAAGAGCAATACTAGTAGTAGTAATCGTACTAGTAGCAATAATAGCACTTATAGCACTGATGCTGATGAAAATGAATAATGGTAACACTATATAACTATAAAAATCTTACAATAGAAATAGTAAGTAATTGTAGTACTCATAATATAGTAGTACTGCCCCCCACTTGCAAACGCAAGCCCTGTATAGTCCCAGTTTCCTTGTCCATTTGATTCTCACTTCACGGGAGACTATCCCGAAACCCCAGTAGAATCCCACTATATAACCCCTACATAAGTAAATCTATGTATTTGGGGCCCCTACATTAATCATAATTCAGGTCCTGAGGCTACCTGACGGCCAGGCACGGAAGCACGCTTCAATGGCGCCAAACCATGCCTAACACACGCTTCAGGCTTTGGATCCCAGCTTTCTGAGAAACTCAAAGCGAGAGAAAGCCATATGGGTGGTTGTCAAAATTATGGTCCACTTTTGGATTCCTATTATAATACGGCACCTAATATTTAGGGTACCCAAAAAGGGACCATAATTTTGACACCCACCCATATCCTGTTGCGGGAGCTAAGCAGGAGCCTGGAAACACTAAGTCTAATCGCTGCACAGCCTTTGTACCACCCCCACCCCTGACATGACATGACATGAGTCTGCAACATTCTGGAAAATCCTCAAGCGAGCAAGACTTCGAAGGGCTTCATGAACATGCAGATTTGGATTGCGCTGTGCACGAAGTTTCAGCTTCAGGCAGAACCTGCATAGCAAGATCACTATTGCTGTAAGTGCTGCAGCTGCTCCTGCTTGTGGCCCTGCTGCCGTGACCATCAGCACCACCGTCGCAAACCGCCACCCACCGCAACCAAAACTTCTTCAGCCATCAGTATCATCCTCCTCCTCGCCATCATCATAATTTCTACCTCATCCCAAGCAGTAACCGCATTTTGGTTACCAATAGAAAAGACCAGTAGGTAATGTAGGGCTTTTCTTATCGGACCTTTTCTCCACAAGTCAGGCTTGCAAAGGTTAGGGCTCAGGGCTTGGGGATCCGAATAGCCTAAGGTAGTAATATTTGCAGACTCTTGGGCCATTGTAGGCATTGTTTGTATACTTGGATCCCTAAAGATCTACATGTAACCCTATAATTTCAGCGAACCTTGACTCTTGAACCCATATCTCCCTATAATGTATCCCAATATGACCCTTTTACTACTGTTTGGAAACCACATCCGTTGAATCAGGGTAACTTACAATGACTTCAAATCCCAATTTAAGGACATTTTGGTACTATTCCCTACATAAACCACCATTTAGGGTGAGGTCGGGTGAGGTTGCTTGAAATTGCCCAGATTGAATTCACGGCCGAGGGTCTGTGGATAGCGGTGCCACAATGCAGCCTGGCCCAGGCTTCGACTTATTTGCATTTTGGGTGGGGTTATATAGGGGTTATATTCTTTGAATCTTGGGGTTGGGGTTCAGAATTTAGGGCCTAACTTTAGTGTTTAGGTGTTAAGGCTTAGGGTTCAAGGTTCAGCTACCCCTCTAAAACTTTTATCCTAATAGGAAGGCACCATGTATATCGAGAGGATTCCTGATGACCGGTTCTGATTAACAACCCCCCCCAACAAGTAGAGGATTCTAAACAAGAGGGGGCGGAATCAAATTTCTGCAAACTTGTTTGGGGTGTTCTCAGACCCTGTCAACTATTGCTGGAACCAACTCCGATTCCCAACTTTTGGAAAAGTTCCCTCTATTCCGTCCCCATCATGCTCATTATTCCGTTCAACCGAAAGTTCGCTCTGTTACGAACCCATTTACTAATCCGAAGCCGACATTATTACACACCTTCGCGCCTTGCAAGTCCAACACCAGGCCAGCAACTAGAGGTCACCAAACCGGGACCGAAAGATCAAATTTGCTTTTGGAAACGTACCCCCACTTTGCAACCATTATGTCAACCTACAACTTGCAGGCGGGACTGCCCAGGACCAATTGACGGAAGAGTCCAGGAAGATTCGGGGCCTGCAAGCTTTGCTCAATTGTTCAGGAGTTGAAGGTTTGGGGGTTTAGGTTCATGCTGTGGTACGTTCTCTATGCAGGGGATACAAGTTTACTTAGCTGTCTTTGGACCCCCCCTAAAAGTTAAACTTTTAGCCTCCTTAATATAGAAAGTAGGGAACCCAAAAAGTTAAAGTCCCAACAGCCAGGCAGAAGACAGCCAAGTTTAGTGGTTACACCACAAGCCCAAACCGGCACGTTCCCGGCTTATGCCGGGCAAGGCGTGTAATTAGGCCACTGTTACGCTTCTTGTTATTCCTACTAGGATTGCTATCGTTAGTACCTCTTCCACTGCTCTTCTACTTCTGCTGTTCTCACCAGAATTTCCATTACTTTTACTACGTATTCGCTCCACATGCAGGGGCTCTGTACGCCAGCTGTCACAGAACGTGAAAACCAAAAACAACAGTAGCAATGTGGCACATGTTGCTAAGCTTTTCGCCTTCCTCCCAATTTTAAGCCCCCCAGGGCCCTAGAATGCAGGAAGAACACTTTTAAACTGTGCACAGGCTACACTACTTTTACATGGGCAAACTAACAATGAATTGGGGATGTTCTGAGGCCATTCTGTGGTTGTCATGAAGAAGCATACGGAATTCGGGATTTCCTTGAATTCAATTCCTTCCTTTGTCACTTTTTCTGTAAATGTGGTTTGTAACACAGAATTTAGAGAAAAATCTCACTCAAAATCAATCAGAATTAGCGAAAGCCTGGCTTGATCAGAAACAGCGCATGAATTAGAAGTATTACGTAATGAAGTAAAAAAAAAAACAGACATGCGCTATTATTTCAAGTTGAGAATTAAATTATCGAATGAATGTTTCATTCGAAGTAACCAGTTGGATCAGGTGCTGCAAGAAGTCAGTCTTCCAATCCCACTCTGATCCCCATGGATGGGGGATTCCAACAGCACGGGGCCGCAGTACGGAGCGCAATGCATCATAGTTCTTAATGTGGGCACGACCAACACAACCCCCTCAAACATTTTGAAACTCACGTGTTTGATCTGGCGGGAATTTTAACAATAATTTCCCCGTACACATCCCCTGCTTAACTAAAGCATTCTGCCCAATCAAATGAGGAAGGGTAGCTTCTTATCATATGATATTATGTAATTCTTCACTCAAAAGACAGAAGCAGCCAACTCCATTGTGTGCAACATTTGGCTTTTGGTCGCGCCTCTTCTTGAAGCAACTGGCGGATCACCTGCGCAATGTCGAATCAAGATGCAATCAAGACATGTTCTGTTCTTGAAGAAGAAAGAATCTGCCTTCCATTCTGCGATTGCAAGGGCGTTGTCTATTGCCAAACAAAGACCAGCGTATCCCACATCCCATAGTTCGCAACGCACACCAACCAAGTGTTGAAGTATCTTGCTATCCTCAAGTTCCGTCCAGCCATCTTCAAGTTGCATCATGCCATCCGTACGCAGGATAACCACCACATCTGCATGACGACACCTTGCCAAAGGGGTTCAACATGTCATCAGACTTCACTTCCTCAACAAGCATGTGCTCCAACTGAGCTACCTGCCCCTGGTCGTCCGCAATTCACATGTAAGTATTGGGGCTATGGACATAGTGCCACCATGCACCTGCACATGTTGAAGCAAATCATGTCGGGGACTGTAAACCTCTAGAAGGTGGGCTGCGCGTTTCCGCTGAAAAGCAGGCACCACACAACCCTGCCTGGGCTCCGGGACTCAACAAGAAATTGATCTTCGGCATCCATGCCACGCAATTTAATGCAAGACAACTTCTCGCTCTGCTTTTGTACAACGAAACTTCCAGCCTACAGATCCAACGCGGGAGCGGTTCATTGATGTGCGCGCAGATCCCGAGCAACTGTGCCTATATTTCAAGTTGCATTTCCGGAAAGCGGTTTCATGCTGGGCGACTTCAGGCGATCGTCTTCTTGATGAGCCGGCCCATATCGGAGTGGAAAGATGGGACCCAGCATTGCAAGCCGGATCATATCTAGCTGCCCTTAGCTCCAGGAGTTCTTATAGCAAACATCCTGTTTGGGAAGCTGGAACCATGTCTTACTCTCCCTGGAGCAATACTAAGGTACAGTAGGTCTGAGCTGTTGTGAACGAATGTGCCGGGACCCTATTCTTCACACAAAGGGCTTTCCTACTTCTAGGGATGTGCATTGGAACCTGCCCCCACCAGCATGCGCAGAACGGTCTGCATAGTCTACATACACCAAGGCAACCACTTGTCCCCAGAAAGCCTATGTCCCAAGACATAGCCCCCAAACCCCCATACCCTGGAACATCCCGAATTTGATAGTGCCTGAACCTGGATCCAAAGCTACCATGCAACTGCGGTGCAAGCGAGGGCAGAGCTCAATACAGCGCGGCATCATGAGCCCAGGAATAGAAGTCCAACGCAAGTGCGGTAAACCCTATAATACAAAAAACCCTGTATGTGCCTTATACTCTCCAAGTCTCCAGCAACCGAACACATATGCCATTCTTGAATTGATGGGCGTGTATTCCAATGATAACGCGAGGGTATCCAAAAGATCTTCATCCATCTACCCCCTTAAAAAGAGCTTACAAGCCTCAATACCTAAACTTTTAACTTCACGGGCCATGGTCTTTGGCCGCATCTAGGTCTAGGGTTTAAGGCTTCTAGGGCGTAGGCCTTATGGTAGGGTTTATAGTAGGGTCATAGGGCTTAGCGGTTACAGGATTTATAGGGTTTAGGGCTTCGAGGTCAGAAGACAGCGCCCTTACTGAACGTCGCAAAATCATCGCGTGCTCAATGCTTCGGCTTTGGGCAAATCGAAATCAACCTCAGGTTCCCAGGTCATTGCTCAAGTCATGGGGTTAAGGGTTTAAGGTCTACATGACAAGTTTTGGGATTTCTGATTTGTGCTCCGACAAAAATGAAAACTGGCCGCTGAGAAAGCTAAGGGATGAATTTGGTGACAGGACTTAATGAAGGCAGAAAAAAGTGGGGTTCTTGGAGTTTTCATGAGCTATGGTCCTCATTTTCGGTATATTTACTGGACACGGATTCCTTTCGGGAAATATAGAGGGCGTAAGGTACTAGAGCACCAAAGGAATCCCTATGTCCCTCCGTACCGGTCCCTTGGTAGCCCCAGCATTGACAGTATGCCCGCATGAGCAGGAGGAGGGTGTAATTTTGGGTCGCAACCTCCGGAAGCCAAACCCCCAACCTTAAACTAAACCCAAAACCCTACGAACCAAATGCCTAACCTTAACCTGAAACACCCTAAACCCTAAACCCAAAATTCAAAGCACCAGGGCTCTTAACTGTAAACGCCCGCAACCCGCACAACATCTTGGAAGCGCCTAGCCGCAAATGCCATGGCAAGCACTGATGCTTCAGTTGGAACCCTTACATAAGCTCTCAAAACATCATAACATTTTTGAAGCCCCCACATGACCCTCAATCCATACAGTCTGCAATTAGTATTCCAGATCCGTCAACTCGTGCATGCTTGAATCCTGAATCTCCAAAGCCTAGACCCCTATAAGAACCAGAAAGCCCCAAACCAGTTTGAACCAACAAAGACACCAATATAGAAACCAATATACCAGAATCCTTATTATTCGGACCCCGAAATGATACCCCTAATTTTGGGAAACCCGCCGCGTAAAACCCTAAACCCTAAACATCCCCTCTATACGCCTAACTTTGGGAACTTGAGCCAACAAATCCTAGACGCCAAAATCCGCTATTTCCTTAGAGCCGGTCCCCTGAAAAGCCCTTCAACCCGGGTTGCTGGTAAGCAGCTCAAATTAAATTGCCATAAGTGGTGTGTATATATGTATATAACACTTCATATAGCTCCCCTACTATAGTACCTTAGATAAATTCCCTAAACCCTACAGCCTACTCTCTAAAGCCGGAACCCCAAACCCTAACCCCTAAACCCTAGTCCCTAAATCCCAAATTCCTGAACAGCAATGCTCCTTTATTCCGCTGCCTCCGCAATACTTTGGACCGCAGCCGAGGTGGCTGCGTTGGCGGCCAAGGGTCGGTTGCAGAGCTGGCGACGTGGCTCAACTTTTTTCATCGGGGCTCTTTTGCTTTTAACGGGGGGGCTACACCCTAAACCCTGAAAGGGGGCTCAACTTTCTTGGGGCCCTAGACCCTAAACCCTAAACCCTAAACCCTAATTAAACCCTAAACCCTAAACCCTAAAGGCTTGGGGCTTGGGATTTGGATTTATGGCTCAGGGTTGCGGGCTTAGGGATGGTTGAGGGCTTTAGGGTTCATTGGGATGTCAATTGCTAGCTATAATAAATTACAGGGTTATACAGGTGTTTATAGGACTTGCTTTTTTTCGCCAAGGCTCTTTGGCCTGAGGGGTTTGCTGGGAGGTTCGTGGGTGGTTGCCAGTATTTTAGGTACCTGCTTGTCTTAACTCTAATTTGCTTTGCGAGTAAGCCTTCAGTATATCTCCCTATGACGGCCCCATCATACCCCAAACGCAACTTTCCGTGCAGCTTGTCGGGCTCTAAATGACTGTTTCTTTTGGAAGTTGTCCTGGTGTGCTGGCTAGGAGCTTTGTGAGGCTAACTCGGTAAATACCACATGGCAAAGCTCACTAGCGAAGCGCTTCCGCGCTGGAGAATGCACAAAGATTGTAAATGCAGGATTTTGCATTTTATCAGTAAATGTAAACATTCGGACGATGCCACGCATGGTATTGGCCTCGCGGCATGAGGCTTGATGTATGCCTTTCGGCTGTCTCGGGCACGTAGACCCTAAACCCTAAGATTGCGATGTCATGGGATGTAGAGTGCTCTGGGTCGTCTTTGGGGGGTCATGTTGGAGACGTTTATGTACCTTGACATTAAAAGAACGACCCCATGCAGCACCTTACATGGGTCCGACCAAGTTGAGGGTCTAATCCCTACACCCTACACCCTCAACCTAGGCACCCTAAACTCCTATAGGAAGAAACCTGGAAGCTGATAATCTTCACATCCTTCAACAGACCGAAAATGAGGCGCCATGGCTTTACCAGGGGTCGCACCTACACAGTACATCTTCTGAATGGGTGCTTGGAGAGCAGAATCTAATTCAAGCACTCGCCCGCCAGGCTTGCAATGAAGAGTGTCCGTTGGTTCTGATAAGAAACGAGATGTCATGGGCATGCGGGATGACGACGAATATACTGTCTGCGCACGAGAGCAACTGGATTCGCGATACAACTGCCCGAAAAAGGGTTGTAAATGACTAGCGCGCTCCATGTTTGCAAGCATGGTGAGTGATTCGCTGCTACATTCCTCCTAGGCAACTGGAGCACACACAAATGTGAAACATCGAAGCTGAGCAAGGCAACGTCATTGTCCGAAACCCCTTAAACATTGCCAAACGAGGCCATTATTCTACATACTTTGTGGGTCCAGGTTGGTTCCCAGCCACAAGCCTCCGTTTCCATTTGATGTTTCTTTCTCTTTCCCGTTTGATTCCCGTTATTGGGGCCACATATCCCCTAGACCCTATATGGTAGGCACTTGCAGATGGGCTTCCTGTCCCCACATTGAGGGGACTGTAATACAAACCGCGGAGATATCTACGAAGGTCCTGATATTACTACTATATTTCTAATATATTCTTGGGGTTCCCTGCTTGCGGTTCCGATTAGAAGTCCTCTAACACATGAGCTATAGTCGAAATTCCGAGTATCCCCTTTCAAGAACCCTATGATAGTACCCTATGCAATCCCCTATACAACCCCCTTAGAGAAGTTTAGAATAGGGCTCTCCATGCCAGTGCGTCTGCTTCATCATAGCGCTGCAGGGCCTCTGGATGTGGAGGTCCATGGGGATTTAGGGTTTCGGGTTTTGGCATTCTATAGCTAGCAGGTTATATGGGGGCTATATGAGGGTGTATCAGGAGGGTATGTGGGTAGGGTCCATGGGAATTCTGATATTCCATATCTTGTATAACTATAGGGTTGTATGGAGGTATGAGAGTATCTGAGGAGGGTAGAAAGGAGCATATAGGGGAGGGGCTTCTTTTCGAATAGCATTCACAGTCTGCACTAAGCCTTGGGCAGACTATGAGCACCAATGGTCTGAGAAACTTTGATGCCATGCAGCTTTATGTTTAGAGTTCAAGTTGTTGGGATTCGGCTTAGATTCATGTTTTTTGTGTCTTTTTGGGGGTGGGGGTCGGGGCTCAGGGTCAGCCTTTGGTCACACCCTTAACCAGTACGCAAGTTGGAGCTTCTCAAATACATAGGTGTCTGTGGGGAGCCGCGGTAGCACGCTCAAAGTCTTCTGCAGTCCCACAGAGGCGCTGAAGTCTGTTTTGTCCAGGGAAAAAACCCTATCCCCTAAACCCTAAACCCTAAAACCCTAAACCCTAAACCCCAAACCCTAAACCCTAAACCCTATACCCTAAACCTTAAGCCCTAGTGTGGAATGTCACCATGCTTTTGGCCTTCAGGTGCCTAGACCTCCGCAAAGTCACCGAGTCCAGGATCCCCTGCTTGCTATGAGCAGGTTATATAGCCACGCGGTTTAGGGTTTAGGGTTTAGGGTTTAGGGTTTTAGGGTTTAGGGTTTAGGGTAATGGAAAAGAAAATGGAAACTACAGGAATTATAGGTACTTTATAGGGGTTATGCAGGGATTATAGGGTTAAATTATATGAGCTATAGTCTCAACTCCTAGTATCCCCCTTAATAATGGAGAATCAAATGGAAAAGAAAATGGAAAATGAAATGGAAACTGGGATTATATAGGTAATTATAGGGGTTATAGTCTCAACTCCTGGTATCCCCCTTAAAAAGCCCAATAATAATTCCCTACATACTCCCCTATATAACCTGCTTGAAGGAGTTTAGACTGTAGCTCCTATGGTCTTCAAATCCACTTTGTGAGGTGCTGGAAGCTCCCAGGTACCATATGAGTGAAGGCCCCGACAATCAGCTTCACTCTACCTTGGCCCTGCAGAAAACTGACTGATCCAAAGCTCCATAAGCCAGTTGGCTACGCCTTGAAGGTCTCAATCCCTAACCCTGCTTCAAGGACAAGAGGCGCCCTGCAGCTTCGCAGAAAAGGCCATGGCAGTTCTGTGTGTCTGTCGATGAAGCAGCAGAAAATTGCTGGGGTCTGGGCTTTCAGGTCCCAGGTGTTTGTGTGGCACTGCCAGGCTAAAATACTTAGCTCTGCCTTTGGCCTGTTTGGCTGTGTGCAGGAAGTCTCGTTAAGCCATCATTTACAAGAGTTTTCCACCCATTTCAGCAGCGAGAATAAATGTTGCAAGCGAGCATGGTGCGTCTGGTGCGGGAAATTATGTCTCCTGGTAATCACTGCGATGAGATAGCTGGGAGTGGGCTTAACAATCCGATGGCAAACAATGCGGCCTGAAGCCCGCACCCGGCCAGCTGGCAAATGCGGACGAACACGCTATCAGGGAATCAAATGGAAATTCTAACGGGACCGGAAAGGGGAGCTACTATAGGGCGCAAGGTTTAGGAGGGGCATGCAGACTTCAACGGAAAATCAAAAGGAAACTGTGTGTTTGTAAGGATGCGTTGGGCTTGTAGTCATCGAACTTTCCTGTCCGGATTTAACTGGCAGGCGAAGTTTGAAGATCAACCGGTGGGGCATCCGATCTTCTGGGACCATCCACAGGAAGATTTGTCATTGTAAATGAGAATCCCTGGCATGGTGCCACCGCCCATTCCCTCAACCCTCAGATCCCTGACAGCAGCTCTCCTTACCAGGGGTTAGTAAGGCATAGCGTAATCTAGCGTGTAGGAAAGTATAAGGATTCTATATAGGGATTATACCCTAAACCCCAACCCCTGAACCCTAAACCCCTAAACCCAAAACCCTAGACCCCTGAACCCTAAACCCCCCTACAATCCCTCAGGAAGTCTCTGGGACAGTGGCGGCATTCAGATCGTCCAGGCTTTCCGAGGGGTGGCCGAGTAGCTCGTAACAGCGGGAGCGCCGTAGCAAGATCTGCGTCCAGTTCTCACGGGTTCCCCTACAACCCTCCCAGGTTCCCCGCTTGATTAAGAACATTTAGGGATGTTTAGGCCTGATTCTGGTTAACTAAGGGGGAACCAATGGGGTAGAATAGAGGGGGGTAGTAGGGGAACAAGTGAAGTTAGGGAAGCCAGGAACCTCCAAAATTATGACCTTATAACGCACAGTTAGGTTGGGGGGAACCTATTCAAGCATATACTAGGACTCTAGTCCAGGGCCCATAGTTATGATAGTCATGGGGTCTTAATGTTGGGGGTTGGGGTTACCAAAATCCCCCTATTGCAGGAAGTTCGCAAAATTGACCAGGAAGCCCTGAGCAGATCTAAGGAATGGGCTCAAACTTCAGGGTTTTAGGTTAGGGTTTAGGGGCAGAAAATCTGAGCCTCAAACCACCAACAATTGTTTGGGGGTTTCCCAAAATTAGCTGTACCTTTTTGGGGGTCCCCTTATCTAGGATAACTACCACTTCTCCCGGAAGGCTGTAAAAAAGCAATTCCCCAAGTAGCTTTGATTTAGGCAGGAAACTTCAGCCCTCTGCACCTTGACAAATAGCCGCCGACGCGTGCGCTGCAATGGATGCTGCGGGCCAAAACCAGCCTTGTTCCAGGGTTTGCGTGTATAGTCCCCCTTAAGTAGATAGAATCTGGGGTATCTGGGATCTTGTTAAAAACTACCCAAAGTCATATCCTATCTACTCAAGGGGGGCTATAACCTCAGTTAGGTAGAGTTTGTGAGTACAAAGCCTTTCACTCGTGGGTATAACCCGGAGGAAGTGGGGCTACAAGAGTCAAGCCAGCTATTACCAGTCCTGGATGCCTGCGGATTCCCCAAAACCATCTGCCTGGCTTCGCCCGGAGCGTCGCTGGGAGAGGGCCTCACACTGTAGGGTGCTCAGTCTTGGGGTTTGGGGCGTCTTGGCTTCCGAGAAAACAATAGTGGTATGTGGGGCAGGAATCTACCGGATAGGATATAGCTCCAAGAGCTCCATGCAGGGATATGGTGAGGATGCGGATGCTTCTGAAATGAATGCTCTTCAAAGGCCTGCATTGCTACAGGACTAACATGCTCTAAAGAATACTGATAATCATGTTGGGAATTCGTCAGAGATACATAGAGGGGAAACATAGAGGGAGGGAGAGAGAGAGAGAGAGAGACGGTGAGTGTGAGAGCACGTCCAGCAAGACTTAAGCCATCTGTGCCAAGAAACACCTACAAACCAATCGATTACCCGGGAATCCTGTAGATCCCTGTAAAACAGGACGTGCTGGGCGCTTAGCCTGCCCATAAGAACGGTAGCGGAGATTCGAAAGGGGTTGCTATATAGATCCTGCATTCCCTATTAACAACGAGTAATAGGTTGAAATTCCGAGGGAACCCTAAATAAAAATCCAAGAAATGGAGACCTAGGAAGCTGCATCGGGCTTCGCATCATCAATTACGCATCCCAAAGTCAAATTCATCCTAGATAGAAGACTGTCTCGCGTTCCACTAATCAGGTTGAGCAGCCATAACTTTACAAAGAACACCTACATGAACCCGAGTTTCCATTTCATTGTTCATTTTGTTTCAGTGCTTAGGGATTATGAGGAAGACATGGGCCTGTGTTTGTATAAGGGATGATGATGGAGAATCCCTTAACCCCTAACCCTAATCCGTTAACTAGACCCTCCAATGTAGTACCTTTTTGGTAGGTTTAATAAGTATCCCAACCAAAAAACCATAACAAACCCAAAAGGAACTACATTGGAGGGACCAGGTAACCCCTAAACCCCTAAACCCCTGAACCCCTGAACCCTGAACCCTAAACCCCTAAACCCCTAAACCCTAAACCCCTAAACCCCTAAACAGCTATCATGGAGCCCCTCCCTGGGACCTCCTCTAAATCGAGCTCCGAGGCTTCCTGTCGGATCTCGGCCTGGACATGAGGGTCTCTGGGCTTTATTAGGGGTTTGGGGTTTAGAGTTT